CCATGTCCTACCTCTACTTCTTATTAAGACTATATAGACCAGGGATTGTAAACTTCGGGTGGGTAATATTGGTTTTTTAAATAGTTTGATATCTGTATTTCAACATGATTGATTTCCTTTGTAATCCCATGTATTTTATATATTTAAAAACCCTATTCTGATAAGAATTTGTAATTCACAACTGGGACTTTTTGGTGTCATGGACCCTTTTGGCATTCTGGTGAAATGTTCCAGTCCCTGGACTTTGCCCTCAACAAAGTACCTGTACCATGTTTCATTTGTGCAAATCTCATATCCCCTCTATTACATTGTCTCTTGAAGTAGGGAAGTACTGTTCCCCAAAACCCTGCACATAATCAGTGCTTAATAAAAATCTGTTGAAATTATCATATGCAAAATATCATATATACAACCAAATTAACAAAAATAACTTAAGAAATTCTTCCATGTTGATAGGTTGTAGGGAAACTAGCTGAAAAAGAACACTCATGATGGTATATATTGAGGATTGTTTCTTGGAGATCAGTTGAATTAGATAGCCTCTGAGGTTAGGGGATTTCAGAGTAAGAACTAACCTCAAAAAACCATCTAAGTCCAACCTGTACTTGACGAAAAAACACTTCTACAATATGGTCAACAAGTGACAGTCATCCAGTCTCTGCCTGAAGACTTCCAATGAAGGGGAATCGTACCTTTGTACATTCCATGTTACTAAGGATGGAGCAATAATAATAAATTACTGGATTTTAAGTAAAAGACCTGGGTTAGGATTCCTGTCTCTTCCACGTAGAACTTGAATGACCTTTGGCAAGAGATTCAACCTCTCTGGAATTTCATTTTATTAGTAAAACGCTTGGCATTTGCTAGATGATTTCTGATGCAGTTTTCTTTCCTCCTGATCCTGAAATCCATCAAACCTAAGCCTTTCTGAAACTTCCACAGGCTATTCTTTATTCTGCCTCCCAATGCCAAAAAGAGCAAGTATAATCCCTTTCTACATGAGAGCCCTTCACCTATGAAGACAATTATTAGAGCCTCACTGTACTTTTGTCTTTTTCATCTTTACTCCTTCAACTAGTTGTGATGTTTAAAAAGGTTCAAGAGACATAATTTCTGGGATATTTAATCATTTAATTAATAAAGCCCCAGATTATTTTTGTTTGTTTTTCTTTGTTTTTTTGCAAGGCTATTGGGGTTAAGTGACTTGCTAGTAAGTGTCAAGTGTCTGGTCTGAGACACATTTGAACTCAGGTCCTCCTGACTCCAGGGCTGATGCTCTGTCCCTGCCAGCAGATTATTAATAAAAGGATGGTTATTTGGCTGTCTTTCTCAGACCAAAGATCACTAATGGCAGTGGGGTCACAGTTTATATGACCTTCCAAGAGGAAGTGTTCCTGAGGGGTGCCTACTTAACTCATATTGGTTAATAAAATGAGAGGTGGGCTATCCTGGGATCCGTGACTCAAGTCACTCAAATTGTGGTCATCAATTTCTGAATCACCTCTCTTGATAACAGAGAGAATCAATATTTTCCAGGGACCTGAGCAACACAATGAGCAGGAACACATGCATTAGCCCATATTCAGAATTTCTTTTATTCTCTGACTAGATCTTGGTCAGGGTAAATCTCCCTGAACAGGGTGATTTCTGGATGAGGAAGTAGCAATGGGGAAAAACCTAGGTCCTAATACAATAATTAGCTATTAAATATGAGAGAAATATTAATTTCTCACACAGTTCTCATAAGACATGGTCTCTGATACCCTCACCATTGTAGTTGCTCTCTTGGGGCTCCATGTCCCTCCCAAAATGAGGTGCTTATAATTGTTCTCCAGAGGTAATCAATGGGGAAGAGCACTATAGAACTATCAAGTTTCTTATTCTGGTCCCGAACTCTCTCAGAACAGCCAAAGATGCTCTGGGCTGGTTTCCTCATCTGTAAAATTGAGACAGTTCTACATGGCTATTGTGAGGAAGAAAAGAAAGGAAACAGTATAGTGCTTACTATAAATTTAGGGTTAACACAGCGCTAAGGGCTGAGAATACAAATACAAGCAAAAAAAGACTCCTGCCCTCAATGAGTCTGCATTCTAATGGAAAAAGACAACATACAAAAGGGGGCAGAAATGAAATGAGGAACAGAACTAGGAAGTAAAAGGTCAGCGGGCCACAAGCTACAGGAGGAATTCACACATGGTAGAATGGGGGTGAGCTTTGCAGAGGGTTATTCCAGGGTAAATACTCTGTAAAAGTGGTTTGATGTGTGTGGGCCAGGAGGCCCCAGGTGCCGAAGAAAGTTCAAGATAAGACAACAGTAGACATTAGGTTTTGAAACCCATCACGTCAGTCAGGGCCAGAAGGGAAATGGGGTGTCTGGTCTGAGCCTCTTCACAAAATGGAGCTCTAGGAGGAACTTGCCACTGGGAGGAAGTGGAAGCCTGGCAGAGGTAGCTTCCAGGATGAGAAGACCACAGGGATGGTAGGATGTTTCAGGATAAGGAGGCCCCAGGTATTGATGGAATGAATTTCAAGGATGAGACAGCAGTAGAGGCAAGGTTTTGAAGTCCATAAAGTCAGGAACAAGGCCAGGGGGGTATGAAGATTCATTTGAGATTAAAATGTGCTACTTTTAGTGGAAGTACCAGGTACTAAGATTAGCAACATTAGTCTCGTGACTCCCAAGTGGGAAATGAACATTGTCCATTCTAGGAATGCTAGATCCCAGGGTCAGTCCAGTACTGAGATGCTATGACTTAACTGAACAGAAGCCTTCTAGATGAAAGTTTAGATCCATTAACGCTTTGCATGGGTCAAGGATGAAAGACACCTCTCCCCAAGAACAGAGAAGTATTCAGGAAAGAATTCAGCAGGAAGCTTCCATAAGAAATCTTTTCTTTATAAGGAACTTACTCTTTATTTCAAGTGTGGCTGCACTGTTTTCTCTTAAGTGTTGGCTATAAGTTTATTTAAATAGAAATGTAAAAAGTTCATCCCCAAGTGAAAAGATCATCATCTGTAATTCTGGATTATGGATTAGTCTGATCATAAATTCAAATAAACAAGAGTTCACTGTTTACGCTGGCCCTATCCTTGTTATGTTGGACTAGCTTAGTTAACAAAAAGTCAAATAAACCAAAACATACAATATTCTAAAATACCATTTTGTGCAATTAATTTATATTCTAAACAGAACTCCTAGTTTGAAATGATGAGGGTTAGCACACTGATGCTACAGTCATTTGCAGAAGTAATTCTAACTTGGGTTGTAGGTTTTTGAAAGGAAGTAGCTTGCACAACTATGGCTAATGAGTAAAACTGTTACCTGAGAGTATAGAAGAAAAAAAGGCAATTTTGACTCCATAAAACTAAAAGTTTTTATACAAATAAAATAAATATAACAAGAAATTGATGAATTGGGAGGAAAGTCTTCATATAAAATATTTTTAATGAATGTGATATCCAAGATATTTAGGGAAATGACAATAATAAAATACCAAGAACTATTCCCCAATAGTTAAATTATTCCCCTAAATAATCAAAGGAAAAGAATAGTTCTTTTAAAAAAACACTCTTGATTATCTTTTTGTTTTACCAAAAAATTTCCAAAAACTGCTTTCCCCACCTGAACAGCAAGCCATTTCTTGTAACGAACAGAAAAGGGCAGCTCAGGGAAACTTTTGTTCAGGTGTATCCACTTTTCTTGACAACATTAGGGGTTTTCTTAGCAAAGATACTGGGAGTGGTTTGCCCTTTTCTTCTCCAGCTCATTTTATAGGGGAGGAAACTGAGGCAAACATGACACAGCTAGTATCTGAGGCTGGATTTGAACTGAGGAGAATGAGCCTTCCACATACCATCAAACCATTCATATGTTAACTAGGTTTGTTGAGGGGGTAGCTAAGTGGAACAGTGGATAAACTACAGGTCCAGCACTCTAGTTAATAGCAGAACAAACTCTGGTATAGGAATGTAATGCTACATGGGTGTACTATCAGAAATGGCAAATGTAAAGAATTCAGAGTCATGGGAAGACTTCTATGAAAGGAAGGTCATGAACAAGGCCAGGGGGGTATGAAGATTCATTTGAGATTAAAATGCGCTCTATACATATACACAATGACTACAATAGTGTAAAATTGCAAATATGGGGCTGCAACACACTAAGAGTGATCCTGAACCAGATTTAAAAATAATTGGGAAATATTTAATTAAAAAAAAAACCACCTAACAATAAAACATAATGTTAATATGTGGTTTTCTAAGTCAATATGCAGGGAGCAAGGATCCTTATATACAGTCTAGGGACTCCACTTAATGGGGGAAAAAAAAGGGTTTTTTGATTTTTTTTTTACATCACCATATTTATCTCATGTTTCTCTTCCCCCTCTCCCTCCCAAGAGAGCCATCTGACAAATTTTTCAGAGGCGGAAAAAGTCAGCACAACTAATCAGTATGTTGAAAACTCTGAAAATGTATGCAAAATATGAAACCTGTAGACCCCCCCCTTTCACAAAGGGGTAGGTTGGGGGTGCCTTCTCATATCTTCATTTCAGTGTTGTTTTATCTTTATAATTCCTATGTAGGGGCAGCTAGGTGGCATGGTGGATGAAGTACCTGGCCTAGAATCAGGAAAACTCATTTCCCTGGGTTTAAATCTGGCCTCAGACACTTACTAGCTGTGTGACTCTGAGCAAATCACTTAATCTTGTTTACTGAAGTTTCCTCATCTGTAAACGAGCTGAAGAAGGAAATGGCAAACCACTCCACTATTTTTGCCAAGCCCACCTCAAACAAAAAAAAAAGGGGGGGTGAGGGGCACAAAGAGTCAGACATAAGTAGAAAAAGACTAAACAACGAAAATAAAACTAATTATAGGACTAAGAAAATCCACTTTTAAAACTCAGTATGTATTATACCACATGATGTCAAACAAGTGTATTTTTGAAAAACCCATAAAGAAAAAGTAAAAATGAATTCAAGAAGTAAAACTCAATCCCATATCCAATACAGTAATACCTTTTAATTAGTGAAAGTTAAAGGTATGAATATACTGTTCTTTGAGGTTAATGGACTATGCTTTTTCATGTATATAGCACTCACAAAAATATAAATTTCTTCAATTTGAAGAAATTAATTCAATAACCAATATAACAGGATACACTCATCCTTTAACCAATGACTCATGTCTTTGGAAATGATACTTCATCATTATCGTTAGTATGTCATATTTGGTAAGTGTCTTGAATGCACTAAAGACTAAAGCTGAATATTTAACAGTCGTAGGATAATTTTATAAAAGCACACTATAGGCTTTTTTTTCTCTATAAAAGCATTTCTAAACAATGGTTAAGATGAACAGCAGTCAGCCCTAGTTAAGCTAAATTTATTTGACTACTCATAACTTAACAAATGGAACACACTTAGACTTAATGATACCACTGGAAATCTCTATTACATGAACTGCCATGTTATCTCCAGTTTTCACATAAATCTGTGGTCTATATCCAAAAACTCAGCAACCTAACAATCAGCATAATCAACAACCAACATAGTGTGAATAGACCTCTTCACACTGCTACTGCCAGAATTACTACCATTGAATATGTAAGGTTTTTCCACATGGCATCAGCACTCACATAATATCAAAAAAGGGTGTGGTGTTGTTAATTAACCAGGTTGATTCATCAATAAAACTACATAAAGGGCTGGGAAGTTCCAGTAAGATATAGTTCAAGTTATAACCGTATTACAAAAGTAATTTATGTTTTATTATACAGAATATTTACTTGGTTAAAAAAAAGAGTGTAAACCATAACAGGTGAAAGTCAGTCATTCAAAAATATATGACAGAAATTCTAACCTACGTCATCATTAGTCTAAATGCCCTGATTAAAAAAGTAAAATATATACACTTTTAAAATTTCATAAACATGGTATTTTTGCATAATTTTGGTTACATTGCATCAGCTGAGGAAAATAGTTCACTCCCACTACAAACAATTTTGAAGCCATTAAGAAGAAATCAATGGGGCTGTGGTTTAGAATGCAGCATACATAGTAGACAGGAATATATTTAAGGCATTTTTAATATATTCAGAGTTTCTATACCGAGTTCACCTCAAGTGTGAGCTAGAACAGTAGCAACTCTATTGAGGAGAGAGCTTTCTAATGAGGTTACACATTCAGTTGAGAAGACAAAGGACACTGGAGTGTAAGTCATAGCACTGGTGACATATGAAGCACTCATTAAGGCTTAAATCTTCAACACACATTTGGTCCTTAAGACTAGTACCCAAATTTAAAAGACTAAAACCGTTAAGGTCAAAATGTGGTAAGTTACCAAAAAGCATTATAGAAAGTATCAACACTGATGCTATTGAAAATTAGTTTTAGCTACCAAAACTTTATAAAGGTCACAAAGGTATCTTCTCATTGATTACACTCCAGAGATATTTTGTCTTCAGATAACATTGGTTAAGTCATTTGCAGAGAAGGCAAGGATATACTTCATAGTCTCTCAAACCTTCTGGTCACTGACTTTATGTTTTTTGTCTATCATAATCTGCAACCATCTTTTTGATATGAGACAATTTGCTTTTCAGCTGCTTACAATATCTCTTCTTATTCTTGTAATCTGCAGACTAAAAAAAAAGAGAAAGAAAGAATTAGAGAAAAATTATCCCAATATTTTCTGTCAGTTCTCTTTTTACAGATCCCACATTATAAGATAAATAGCTCTAATGGGCAAATAAGGTTATACATTTTCTCTTTTATTTTAAACACTGAAAAACTTTTTTAAAAAAGAGACAAAAACACCTTAAATGTTCTAGTAAGAATCTGTCAATTCTAACATGGAAATTTTAACTAAAGATAAGTGTTAATTATCTCCATTCTAGAGAAATAAGAAACTCTTCCTTCACCTTTCAACTTTATAGTTGACTATAGAGACTATGGGTGCTATATTATCAGGGTAGGGCTGCTTAAATCTATCAACTAATGACTCTGGGCAAGTCACTTAACCCCAACTGCCTAAAAGCAAAACAAAACAAAACAAAAGAAAACGAAGTTCAAGTGGGTCTCTGCCTGAAAGGAAAAAGGGCTGGAGGGATACGGTTTCACTCTCCAGGCTATCAGAGACAACAAAGTGATGCTTGGAGAAAAAAAAAACAAAAGCCAGAAGTGTTTTAGGTAGAAAACAAAAGGGAAAAAAAAGATTTATACATAAAGAGGGTGAGTCTCATTTTCTTAAAAGGGTGGACATTAGAAAAATGAGACAGTGGGCCAGCTAAGTGGATAGAGCTCCAGCCTTGGAGTCAGGAGGACCTGAGTTCAAATCTGACCTCAGACACTTGACACTAGCTGTGTGACCCTGGGCAAGTCACTTAACCCCAACTGCCTCACCAAAAAGAAAAAAAAGAAAAAGAAAAAAAAAGACAGGAAAAGAAGGGAAGAGGAAACAATGAATACAATGAATATCTGGAGTTATAATTGACAGTCAGGAATAAGATGTCTGTTGTCTTTCTTGGTCATCTACACTGCCAAAAATTGTTAATGGTGACAACCACGTCTGATGATTCATGTGAGAACAAATGAAACCAGCCGAAAGAACCTAGAATATGTTTCTAAAGATTTGAAAGTCATGGGAAAGAAAAATGAACATCCTTGAAAAGGGGATAAGGTAGGTAAAATTTCATCACTACTGTTCGCTGAAGGTAAGGAATTCAAAGATGAGCAGATTTCAGAAGTCAACTGTTGAGTGAAAAGATGGTGCCTGAGATTTGGAGCCACAGGATTTGGATTTCTGCACCACAGTTTAGGAATAGTGGATTCTTAAAAGGGATGGAACATATTTAACAGGGGTCAATATGCCATATGTGCCTAGACTCTGACAAATATAATCAAAAGAGAGAAAGGGAAAAAAATTGCTCAAAGAACTTGATGTCTTATACGACAACTCACTGGACTTCACATCCACTCTATGATGTAAATGCTAAAGATATTATCACCATTTTACAGATGAGGAAACTGAGTTTCAGAAAAGGCAATGACTTCTCAAGGAGCACACAACTGGTAAATGTGCGATACTAGATTCAACCCCAAGACCTCTTAACTCCAAGTCCAGAGATCTATCTACTATGCCATGTTGTATCTCATCCAAATGGGTTCAAAAATATATCAAGAATCAAAAAGGGGTAAATAAGTGAGGATGAATAAAAAAAAATGTCACACATAGTCTTCTAAGAATTTCATCAGTTGATATTGAAGGCAATAAATACTAGGAACAACAATGGAATAGGAAGGATTCCTTTCATACAGGCAACCCCCACACGAGCAAACTGCTTCTAAATAATACAAGTTGGCACCTTCTCTACAATGTAATAGTTTCAGACAGTATGTATGCTAGAGTGGAGGTGTCAGATAATACACAATTTCCTAGTGCTGCCCAAACCAATTTAAAATGCAATCAGGGAAGATTTAACAAAAATAAAAATACAATAGGATGTGATGTTAATATATGGTTTCCTAAGTCAATATGTAGCCCTCAGGGATCTTGATGTATAATTGTCTCCATTTCTATTTGAGTTTGACATCAATGTGCTAGAGCCCTGACAGGCTAAGTACCTAGGATCACATGGTCAGTATATGTCACAAATGGGACTTAAAGCCATTTCTTCTTAGCTATTAGGCCAACTCTCTATCACATAATTTCCTCTCAAGAACAACAAAAATTGTATTTTTAAGGCTCTGCTCAGGAAAAGAGGAAAATAATTGGGATTGGGTTATTCTAGCAGGACAGGAATAAATGAAAGCTCAACCTTTGGGCAGCTAGGTGATGCAGTGGATACAGCACTGGCCCTAAGCTCAAATCCAACCTCAGACACTTACTAGCTAGCTGTGTGACCCTGGGCCAGTCACTTAAACCTCCACTGTCTCCAAAATAAAATTTAAAAAAAATTAATTAAATTTAAAAAAAAGAAAGCTCAACTCTCAATTAACTTTTGCCTATGTTTTTGCTTCCACAGTGAATGGTCTTTGAGCTGGAAAGGGCAGAATATAAATGGGAAAGAGGGGACAGAAATCCAAGATAGTGGAGAAAATGGTAAAACAACATTTAGTTCTCAGAAAAACCTGGAAAAACTTAGATGAACTGATGCAAGACAAAATGAATAGAACCAGAAAAATACTGTATACAGTAACAGCAATACCGTACGATTAATATTATTATAAGCTCTTCCAAAATGACATAGACTAGTGCTGAAAAGACTGACGCTCACCCTCTACTTGAAGCTTCTGCCCCAGTTCTGAAGAAGCTTCCAAATCTTACATTCCACTGCACAGTCATCAGGAAAAGGGTTTACCATATGCTATTGCTAATATGCACATTTAAAAAAAAATCATCCCCACTAAACTACAAACTGCTTGAGGACTGGGATGCTATACAATTTATCTTGTGTATCATCCTCAAGATCTGACAGTGCTTTGTACATAATAGACACTTCATAAATGTTCACTTCATTAAATTTTTGAAAAGAACAGATCATAGAGAAATTAAGGAGTTTTGGAACTGATAAAACTTACTGCTTTCACTTCCTTTAGTCGATTATATTCATCAGCAGCAGCCTATTAAGGAGAAATACAGCAAATGCATGTTTATTGTGGCATTTATCTTAAGCATAATTATAATTATCCTCAAGCCCTCTAATTTACTCTGAGGCTTAAAACCTTGAATTATGTTTGAAAGAAAAAAAAAGACAGTACCATGTTATTTAATGACATTTCATAGATGTCATCCATATAGGCAAAGAGAAGCTAAAATGATACAATAGACAAATTTCTGCTCCCTTTATTAATTCCAACAGCCCCTTTTACGTTTTAGAAAGACTTCATACGAGGCTAGGGAATGGTGTCTACATTAAAGTCTACAGCATAATTCTATTTTTAAATGGAATCATGAGTTTTTCCAAATCCAAGGCTCAGACTGTTTGTCAAGGTAAAATAAAGGTTCCCAAAGTTTTAGACTGGATGAATACAAGATCAATAGTGGTTTTTCTAGGACATGAAGATAAATGTTACTGATACCATACAACTCATTCAGAATTTATTCTGTTCGTTATCAAACTAGTCTTTATTTCCCCTGGTTGTTGTGAAGGGGTTTTTATTCTCTGGAAACTTACCATGTATTCCTCACTTTCTTCTTGATAATCATCTAGTTCTTTATCCAGGTGGGACAGCTCTTTGTTGATTTCATCAATTTCTGCTTGTAGGCTCTTGTATTCCTGTAGGCCAGTGTCAAAGTTTTTCTTATAAAGCTGTCTCTGCTGGTCTGAAGTTATCGGTGGGTACTCCCTAAATATGAAGGTGAGAAAACCTGTTATCTATCTTTGTTGCTGTTCAATCATTTTTCAGTTGTGTCCAATTCTTTGTGATCCCATTAGGGATTTTCTTGGCAAAGATACAGGAGTGGCTTGCCATTTCCTTCTCCAGAACATTTTACAGATAAGGAAATTGAGGCAAATAGAGTTAAGTGACTTGCCCAGTGTCACACAGCTAGTAAGCGTCTGAGGCAGGATTTGAAGTCAGGAAGATAAGTCTTCCTGATTCCAAGCCCAGTGATCTACCCACTTGACCACCTAGCTGCCCAAAGAACATTAAGATGAGGTTCAGTTATGAAGAATGGGTTCCTTATTGGTTCTTCCATCTATAGCTACCCCTAAGTTAAATTAAAAGAATTTGCTGGACCCTCAAGACTATGTAACCTTTCTTCACTATAAGAAGGACCAGCGTAAGTTTCCTCTTCCACCTACTGCAACCTCTCCATAACTTGTCTAGATGCAACTGGTGAAGCAATGGATAGAACTTTGGGTCTGGAGTTGGGAAGACTTGAGTTTAAATCTGGCCTTAAACACCTACTAGCTGTGTGACCCTGGGCAAGTCACTTAACCTCAGCTTGCCTCAGTTTTCTCAACAAAATGGGGATAATAACAGTCCTTGTAGAGCTGCTGTCACAGTATCAAATGAAGTCACATTTGTAAAAAGCACTTAGCACAGTGCCTGGCACATAGCAGGCATGATATAGAAGCTTATTCCTTCCCTCATTCCCTATAGCTTAACAGATGATCTTCAAGAGTTTGTAGCTGAATAATTTTTCACCTTGTGGTCAGCCTGGTGATGAGCCATTCTGAACTGGGCTAACAGCCATGGGTCAACTCAAAGATATTTCAGTCTAGTAGCATCTGCTCTACTTAGTGGCAGGCAGCTGGGAAGGCCTTACACGTATGTCTTTTCTTACTTAAATGCTTACTTCAAGGCTTCAAGAGCTGTGATTTCATCAACAGGTATATACCATAATTCCTCTATGACCTAGTGTCTAATCTTCAAGATGTTATTTCTAATGATGTTTTTGGACCCAAAATTTACCTCTCTGTAGCCAGACTAGTTACGGGCTTCTCCAAACTTAGGGTCATCAATTTCTGCTTGTAAGCTCTTATATTCTTGTGATGACAGACATAGAAGCTGTCATCAACTCTGTACTAGAAGCCTTTCAGTTTCTAAAGGCTATGCTGTGCTATGCTGGCAAAGCCTTTGAGAACCCAGGATTACCACCTTACCACAAAGAAAGCATCACATCCTAGACTCTGGTGGAATATTTAAACTTAATAAAGGACAATCAAACAAAAAGCACCTAAGTACATAACAGTGTACTTAATTTAAGCATTAAAAACCTATTATGTGCCACTAACTGTGCGCTAGGCAGCACTGGGACTACAAATAAAAAAGTGAGACTGCTTGCCCTCAAGGAACTTACATTCTACTAGAGGAAAAAAAATATAGGGGAGGGAATATGTACTAAATCAGGGAAGACTGCATGAAGGTGTTAGCATTTGAGCTTAGCCTTGAAGGGAGTTAGAGATTTCAAAAGGCAGCAGCATGAAGTGGGAGATGAAATATCTTCTATGGAGAACATGAAGAACAAAAAGTAGATTGTTTTTGCTTAAAACTTAAATATGTCAAGCAGAATAATCGCCATCGGTAATCACTACAGAAAGAGAGAAGACTGGAGCCAGAATGTGAAGGACTCTGAAAACCCAGGAATTTAACCTCAAGGCCAAATGAAGGATGTCTGAAGCTTCCTTAGAAAGAATAACAAGGTCACATAGCTCAGCTTAAGGAATATCAATTTGGCAACTATGTGGAGGATGGATTGATGAGGAGAGAAGTTGTATTGAGGGAGACTTCTTAGAAGAGAACAAAAGAGAAAGAAGTTAAAGAGATGAGATGATCTCTTGATTGACCAGATGTTGGGGGTAGGTAAATGAAGGCAAGGATGATTCCCACCTTTCAAAACTAGGTGACTAGAAGAATGATACTTCTTTCCTTTCTTTCATTTTCTTCCACAAAATGACTAATATGGAAATGTTTTGAATGACTGCACATGTATAATCTATTCATTCTGTTTAGCATGTCAGGGAGTGGGGAGAAGGAGAAAGGGATAGAATTTAGAACTAAAAAAAATATTTAAAATTGTTTTTACATGTAACTGGGTAAAAATAAAATATTTTTAAAAAGAAAGAAAAAATACGGACGTGAGGAGGGGGGTGTGGATTTAGGGAGAAAGACAGCAAATTCTACTTAGGACATGTTGAGTTTAAGATGCTTATGTGACAACCAGCAAGTTAATGTTCTTGAAGGAGAAAGATCAAGAAGTCAGCTGAAGACCTGGAATTACGCATTAGGAAAGAAAGAAATGTCTTTGTTAGACCAGCCACATGTATGTGTGTATTATGTGGTATGTACATCTGTGTATGCCACTCCGAGGCTTGATCTTTTTTTTAAGTAATCGGGGTTAAATGAGTTGCCCAAGGCTATTAAGTATCTGAGGCCACATTTGAACTCAGGTCCTCTTGTCTCCAGAGCCAGTGCTCTATCCACTGTGCCACCTAGCTGCCCCACACCTTAGGAGAAAGAGAAGAAGGCTGGAGAAGTACAATTCTCTTGCCATGGGATTCATGAATTCTTTGGGGGAAAGGTTGCTTTTGCTTTCCTTTGTTCAGAGAAAAGTATTCAAGGATAACCTCACTTGCAAATTATTTGGTTGATGCTTACACGCTCAGATATTAAACATATACCTATATAGTTTTAGATATTTAAAATACTTAAAACATCCAAGACTTCAAATTAAACTTGATAACTGAGTGGTTAAAAAGAGCATTATAGGATTGCAGATAGAGAGTTCTTAAGAGATTATCTAGTCCAACATGGAAATATATTTCACATAATTGAACATATATAACTTATATGAAAATGCTTACCAACTTAGAGAGGAAGAAGAGAAAATTTGAAACTCAAAATTTTTCGCTTAGTATTTTATTTTCTCCCAATTATATGTAAAAATTTTTTTAACATTTGTTTTTAAATTTCTGAGTTCCAAATTTTCTTTATTCTCTCCCTCAGCCCTACCTCATTGAGAAGGCAAGCAATTTGATATAGGTCATACATGTGTAGTCATGCAAAATATAAGATGCTTTTTTTTTGGGGGGGGGGAAGAGATTACCTAGTCCAAACCTATCATTTTATTTTTTTCCCCAAACCCATCATTTTAAAAATGAGGAAGCTGTGCCACAATGAGATGAAACAACTTTCCTAAGATAACCTAGGTATTAAGAACTACATCCAGGGATCTTTTCACACAAGAGCTCTTAGAATTTGCTTCCCGTTTGTCTATGCTTAATGAATGTTTGTTGTTTGTTTTTTTGGGGGGGACCCCCAAGACCTGTGATTTCCTTGCTGTAGCAAACTTCTAGTGAGGAAACTCTCTATACCACAAACCTCATTGGTCTTAAGAAGTTCCTTGTGGCACTGTGAGGTTAAGTGATTTGTCCAGGGTCTGAATGGCATCAGCTAAACAGGTTCTCCAAAAGCTTCTCCCAAAGTTTCCAAGTACACAGGAAAACATCAGTGCTCTCAGCTCAGTGGCACTTCCCATTTGCATGTGGGAAGATTTTCAGAAATCATTTAAGTACTGCCGTAATCAACATTAGGAAGGTTACCCTGGAAAACCTCATAGCAGGCAATTAATTATTAAATTTCTCCCAACACATTGTCTGAAAGTGAAAGAACCCAGGGTGGTATTTAGCTAACAGCAAGAAGTTCCAGCATTGTTTTGGACACCCGTAACGGTCTGTGTTCTACAAATGCTATCTCTGTACCTGTCCCAGTCTTCATCCAGTTCTTCACAGGATTCCCCTCCAGTGGTATAGTCGGTTTCATAGTGGTCCTGGTCAGCTCTTTTTGACGTCCTTCCTTTCCCATGAGGTTTCTCTGTAGATACTAAGTTACCATTGCTACTGTACCGAGGTTGCCTGAAATTATCCACAGGTGAAGTCACTGGAAGAACCTTAACCACTTCTGGTATCCTAGAGGAAAACAGCATCATCATACATCAGTGGTCAATTTATAAGCCAAAACCAGCAACATTATACAGAATGAATGGTCTTCTCAACAAATGCAATATGATTCAACCCCCACCCTCCTCCACAATCCAAACAGCAGCCAAGAATTAATTGCCAAGAGAGCTCCAAAATCTTGTGTGCTCACTCAGTCAAGAAACTTATGCACACTCCACTGAACAGATCCCTGGAGTTTGGTATGCCCAATTTTGTAACCCTCAGGATTTTCTGATGCATGTAATAGTTTTTAGGTCCTGATTTAAAAGGAGCCTCTCTTCAGCCTTTCTAAATAAAATAAAGGCATTTAATCTTAGAAAAATTTAGTTTCACATGAAAGGATATATGTCAGTAATTTACACTATAGCAGTCCAGTTGGGGGAATTCTTAGACTTTTCTATTCTACAGTTTTTAAAGCTCCGTGGAATTATTAGAAACAAAACAAAAAGTAGGGAAGGGGAATATGTACATATATCCACCACTGGATGTTTAAAAATTCACATAAAATTTCTTTGGATTAAATGGAAAAGTATAACATATAATGTATATTACACAATATAATATATGACAATATATTAATTATATTTATACATATATTTATATAGAAATTATATATTATATAATTATATTTATTATATATAATATAATTGTATATAATAATTCACAACTCAAGGTATAATCTTTTTAAATCTGGAAGTGATTAAGCTTTAGAGCATAACTAAACATAATTACTAAAGATCCTTTCAAACTTCTGGTCATGTATCAGAAAGAATGAAAGGAGAACAATATATATTTTTTCCAATGGCACTGCTTACTATTACAAAAGTATTTGATTCCCCACCACCAACACCAACTGACCACCACCATGACCCCCAACTGAGGAAGTAAAATTACTTCAAAATGGAGACTTATGAGAAAATACTAAAAGGAAGCTCCTAAATATAAACGCAAGTCTGGAGTTGAGCTGGGAAAAGGTAACAGAGAATAGCCAATGGGAGAGGAAGGTTTAAGAATGCACAAAGAGGGAAAGGGAAATTTTAAAAGGGCCAACAAAGGGCAAGTTAACAGGTGGCTTTTTCAATTCACAGAAAGCTCAGGATGTGGTCAAAGGAAACAAAACATTGCTCAGGGGCAAATCTACATTTTAATCAAAGCTTCCTTTAATCTCATTACTTTAACAAGTGATTATTTAACTCATATAACTTTATTTAACTTTATAACTATTTCATTTATACTTTAACAATGATTATTTTAATTTACTCTTGGATAAACCCAAAGACCCCAGCTTCTGGGAAAAGAACTCACTATTTGACAAAAACTGCTAGGAAGACTGGAAAACAGTACAGCAGAAATTAGGCATAAACCAACATCTCACACCATATATTAAGATAAAGTCAAAATGGGTACATTGAAGGGTGATACCATAAGCAAATTAAGAGAGCAAGGAACAGTTTACCTTGTCAGATCTATGGAGAAGGGAAGAATTTATGACCAAACGAGATTGAGAACATCATAAAATGCAAAATGCATAATTTTCACCATATTATGATATGCAGTCAAGATTAGAAGGAAAGTAGAACGATGGGAAACAATTTTTACAGAAAGTATTTCTGATAAAGGCCCAATTTCTTGAATAATAGAGAAATGAGTCAAATTTATAAGAATACAAGTCATTCCCCAATTTATAAACGGCCAGAGGATATGAACAGGCAGTTTTCAGAGGAAGAAAGTAAAGCTATCTATATCATATGAAAGAAATGTTCTAAATCACTACTGATTAGAGAAATGTAAATCAAAACAGCTCTGAGGTACCACATCACACCTATCAGATTGGGTAACATGGCAAAACAGGAAAATGATAAATGTTGCAGAAGACTGGTAAAATTGGGAACATTGATGCACCGTTGGTAAATTTGTGAACTTATCCAACAGTTCTGGAGAGCAATTTGGAACTATGGCCAAAGGACAATGAAATTGTACATACCCTTTGATCTAGCAATACCACTACTAGGTCTATATCCCAGAGATCATAAAAAAAGGGAAAAGGACTTACACGTAAAAAAATAATTTATAGCAGTTTTTTTTGTGGTAGCAAAGAATTGGAGATTGAGGGAATGCCCATCAATTGGGGAATGGCTGAATAAGCTGTGGTATACGAATGTAATAGAATAACTATTGTTCTCTAAGAATGATGAGCAGGCAGATATCAGAAATACCCTGGAAAAACTTATATGAACTGATACCGAATGAAGTGAGCATAACTAGGAAAACACTGTACACAGTAACAGCAACACAAATGTTGAAAACTATCATTACATGTAATTGGAAAAAATAAAATACTGTTTACCAAAAAAAAAAAACCAAACCAAAACAAACAAAAAAAACTCCATCAAAAAACCTCTAACAAACAAAATACTTCTAAAGCACTCTCAATAACCAAAAAAGTTCTCATTTTAGTTTTGTGTAATTTTGAAAAAGGTTTTATATTTTTCCACACAGAATTATTTGGCTTCCACCAAAGAAGTTCCTCTTTCAAGCACATCATCATAGGGTTGAAGAGGCCTCAGCTTTCCAGGGGCTATTCTGTCAGGAAGGAAGACCAGCCCAAGGAAATTCAGAAAGGCTCATCCCCCAGGAGGTCAGCCACCAGGACATCAATTTTTTTTCCAACCAAAGAAACTCATGGAGACCTTCCAGGAGTTATGACCAGCCTCAGTGGAAAGCTATCCTCACCTATCAAATCACAAATTCTTCAGAGTATGGATGTTCTTCCATAAAAAAGTCAAAGAGAATGAATATACATTTTATATTTTTATTATGTCTTTTTTTTAAAGTTTGTTGAAACTATTCAGTGAGCTGTTTCTCAGTCGTGCCTGACTCTTTTGGGGTTTTCTTGGTTTGCCATTTCCTCTTCCAGCTAATTTTCACAGGAGGAAATTGAAGTAAACAAAGTTAAGGAACTCCCCCAGGGTCACACAGCTAGTAAGTGTCTGAGTCCATATTTGAACTCAGGAAGATGAGTCTTCCTGACTCCAAGCCAGATAATTTATCCATTTTGCCACCTAGCTGCCTGTTGAGACTATATGGATAATCAAATTTACTTAATAAAATGATTTATACAGGGGACATCAGAAACGCCATTATTCAGTAAAAGTGAAATTAAAAAACCTAAAAAGCTTCAATTAAACTTTTTTTAATAAATAAAACGCAAAATAAAAAAATAAAGACGGAATTGAAGCAGATGATCTATAACCATTACTTGTTTCATCTCTCTCCCCAGAGTTCTACATAGACTTTTATAAATGCATTTGGATGAATGTTCCTACTGTGATCAACAAAAGAAAACTACCCGGTACTCTACCACTCCCCACTCCACTTCAAGATCTTATTTAATAGGCAAAAGAAGTTTTGAACTAGGCTTTTAAAAAGGATGGGTTTCTGGGTGTGTTTGGGTTGGGAATGGACATGATTTGGCAGTTCCCCTCCATTCTAGTTTGTCACCTAGCTTGAAAACCTCCTAAGCTTGCTCCACAACTGAATTCCTGCACATTTTAATCACTGGCTGCAGGAAGATGGAGAAGCCAGATTTTGTCTCATGAGTCATTAGAAAACAAACTTTCCAGATGCTCTGTCCAAAACTTTGTTAGGGTAACATGTGATACCCCTAGGCTCCTGCTTTGGACACAGCAAGAATGACAACATAAAACCTCCAAAACAGGCTTTGGTTTTCAGGGGAAAGCAACAGAAAAGGAACAGAATCAATCACCCAATTCTGCTAGAATTCTATTTACAAGTTTCGTGGAAAGTTTATGAAATAAAAAATTCCTGCTATTATAGCTTAAGTTGAGGTGAAAGCTGGCCGTTTCCAGTCATCTCGATCTATATCTTGCAACTAGACCGGGAGGCTGGTGACTTTGCCCAGCCCGGCCTCACTTCAGTCCAATTTACTTGCATGCCATGGCATCACCTCCCTGATGTCATGGTCTTCTTCAAGAACAAAAGACAAACAGCAGCAGCAACCTTAACATTCAACTTCAGCTTGGACTCTTTCCATCTGAATTCTTCCCTACATCTTTTAAATACCACCACACTTGTTTTTTTTGCCCCTCCAGGACACTTATACCTAGAATAAGTGTTGGGTTCATACCCATTTTTCCTTGTACAAAGATTATCAGTACCATCACATTTGAGTTAAAGCTATTTCATTGAATAGCTGAGGCTCAGGGCAAAAAGCAATAGCTGGCACTTATAATGCACTTTATTTGTATTATCATACTTGAGCCTTACAATTCTGGGAGGAATTGTGCCCATTTTATAGATGGTGAAACTGAGGCTCAGAGAGGTTAGATGACTTGCCCAGTGTCACACAGCTAGTTAAGAGTTTGTGAGTAGGATTTGAATCTAGGTGTTCCTGACCAAGACCATAGATGTCATACTACTCAAATGGATTGCTGACCGACTAAAAAAAAACTTTCTTAATTTGCTAGATATCACCACCACTATCAATTTAATAAAAAAATAAATGAACTGAAGTTAATTTTCTTTCAGTGTACCCAATCTTACAAACTACCATATTTTCTCACTTTCTTGGTATATTTTAGTAGATCTTCTGTCATAAACACTCATATTTTCCAGAAGGGGTTTGATAAAGAGAACTCCTCACTGCCTTTTTAAAGACAGATACAAAGGGACAGATGCTGATTAAAAGGGAAGTGGAACCATTACACTTATGATACTAAAAGCCCTCCACAGTCTGGTTATAATATATATGAAATCTTTGCAACATTAATTTAATATGACAGAAGCCTTGTGAAGTAGATATTATAAGTAATATTGTCCCCATTTTACAGATCTAGTTTGGTAGAAGAGAATATATGAAGAAGGGAAATAAGAGAAGGCTGAAAAGGTAAGCTGAAGCCAATCTACGGAGAGCCTTGAATGCCAGGATAAGGAAGTTTGACTTTATTTGGTAAGTACTGGAAATTCAATAAAGGTTTTTCAGAGACATGACAAAAGCAGTGAGAGCCATGATGACAGCAGTACATTTATTAGGAAAGACAGACTGGAAAAGGACAAGACTGGATTCAGGAAGATCAGTCAGATGGCCCCTCACTATAGAATTTCACATTTGCCACATCAGCTTTCCAAAACTGCAAGGCAATACCATCGTTCATATCTCATCTCTCATAAACATCTAGGAGAAAGAGACCAGGCACTACCAGCAGTCTGCTACCATGGAAACTTTACAAAGCAACCCAGCACCATTTACATTTTCCTGTCCTGCTTTATCCAAAACTGGGTGTGGAGGAAACAACTGGGAGTGAGACCTATTTAAGATACTCCTAGACCCACTTTGCAAAGGTGGAGGAGTCATCTTCAGCTAACTATCTTCCTGCCTACTAATCCTGGCAGAGCATGAACAGGGTATTTATTTACTACACTGAGTCCTTATGTGCCTGACTCCCAGTGCTGCTTCCTTCTAACATTAACAAGAGTTATGACTGTGGACTGTGTGACCCTGGGCAAGTCACTTGGCAACAGTTGCCTTAGTTTCTTCACCTGTAAAATGAGTAGCAAACCACTCCAGTATATTTGCCAAGAAAACTCTAAATGGGATCACAAAGAAACTGACATAACTGAAATGACTAAACAACAACAAATAATCATGGACTGGTCGCTTGTCTTCTTGGGAACTCAGTTTCCCCATTTGTAAAATGGGAAGACTACGCCAGATGAATCCCACATAGCCTTCCAGTTCTAAATTTCTCTGATTCTATGCACCTGGATATGCAAGACTAGAAGTGTTATTGCTACCTAATACCAGAAGAAATGAAACGGGCAGCAGTGAACAGCTAAAAGGACACTGGTTCTGTAGTCAGGGGACCTGGATGCAAATCTTGCCCCTAATGCTAGCTACCTGTTCCCACAGGAGTTTCATTTAACCTCCATGGGTCTCAGTTTCCTTTAAGGCTCCTTCCAGATCTCAATCTTTGATCCTATTATTTCACAAAGATCCAGAATTCCCCCAATCTGATATCACTTCCTCCTCTGAATCCTCCTAGCACTTTGTGCCTCTGTTAGGGTCCTTATCACATATTACTTCTTATTAGCTCTTCATAAACAACTCCGCTACTAGACTAGAAGATCCCTGAGGGAAGAGGTAATGTGTTCTTCACCTCTGTATTCCCCTCAAAAATTAGCACAATACTTTACACATACTAGATACCCACTTTCTACACAAAACCTTACCTGGTAACCTTCCCAAGAGGCAGCTAGGTGACACAATGGATAGAGCGCTGGGCCTGGAGTCAGGAAGACCTGAGTTCAAATCCAGCCTCAGATCATCACGAGCAATGTGACCCTAGCCAAAGTCACTTAACCGTTTGCCTCAGTTTCTCCAACTGTAAAATGAATTTAACAGTACCTACCTCACAAAGTTGTTCTGTGGACTGAAAGAGGTACTATCTGTGAAGTAGATGTTACATGTGAGCTCCTTGAGGGCAGGGACTGTCTTTTGCCTCTTTTTGTATGCCTAGCAGATAAGCTCTTAATAATATACCCATATTATACATAATACACACACACACACACAGCATGTCTACATAAGTATATAACATTATACTAAGTGCTCATATGTTGATAATATTGCATGCTAACACACACACACATACATATGCATGTATATATAATATGTATTGGGTGCATGTGTTTGCGTGCATGCGTATTGAATATAATTATTTAGCTCTATATTGCCTTGCTTGATAGAATCACTTTAGGGGCATAGTTTGTCTTTGAATCTCCAGTACTTAGCACAGTGCCTGGAACACAGTAGCACTTAATAAATGCTTGTTACCCTTAAAATCTTGGAATGTAATGGCATAGTGAATGCCCATGAAGCTGAACAGGAGAGCTGAGAGGCAACAATAGTCACATGATGCAAAATAAATTAAGTTTTACAAGCTTGAAAGTCATGTAAATAGCAACTTGTAACTTTAAAAACAGGACCAATTACCCCAGTGCCCTGGTATTAGAAAGTGAGGCCAAAAAGTGGTTTGCTAGGAAAACCTTTTTTCAAAATATACCTAGTTTTAATCAATATAGAGGTAGCTACTGAGCACCCAAAGAGAAAATTATTAAGTAAGGTCAATTGCAGGTCTATCTGGTTTCCAAATTCCATTCCATTCATTATATTAAAGTTCATTACCTCCAATTGGATACCATAATTAAAAACAGCTTGCCAGTGTAGGATTAATGGTTTCAGCACCTCCTGTGCTCTGAGAATAGTCCTTTATATGACTCCTCTCTATGCTAAATGTGGGGTAGGCAGTACCACGTCCAAAGTCCCCCCCCCTCCGCTATTTACTTGTGACATTGGAAAAGCCAATTTTACTTTTTCAAACACCAGCTTCTTTTTCTTTGCAAAATGATGGTGCTAGACTAGGCAAACCCTAAGGCTTTATCCAGTTCTAAATCTATTCATCAACAGTTCTGCTAGAAAATTCAAACTAAGATGTCAAACACGATTTTTCCAAAGTAAAAGGAGGAAATGTGGCTACGGACCGTAATACTAAAGAATCAAATGCAATCAACCATCTTGCCATCCCTATGGACATGGTAATAAGTTCCTCAAGCATCTTTTTATACTTTAGTATGGTGCTACATGAGAAATGGGTTTAAAAAAAAAAAGGACCAAGGTAAAATACAGCTCTTGGACCAGACGGGTAGGAGTAACATAGAATCATCGGATTTAGATCTGGAATAGAGATGAAAGATTGTCTAACCGAGACCTCTATTTTTACAGGTGAGTCCCAAGAAATCAAGTGACTTGCTCAAGGTTCACACATACAGTTCAGAGACAGAACTCGAACCCAGTTTTCCTGACTGCCAGGGAAGTGGTCTCTATTCCATAAAATTTGGTGTCAATGCTATGCAATAAACAGGGCTAAAGCAGAACTCAATATTTTGAATTTTCTTATCCACAAAATTAAGAGGTCCCTTCTTCTCTAAATCCTATCAATCCTGTAAAGTTCCAAAGAAAAGGAAGAATGGAAAGGAAACTACTTACATATATACAATATATATGATACAAATGATCCCTAAGTCAATTTTATGTTCAAAAATATTTCTGAAGGGTAGTCAATGTGCAAATTTCTGAATCTCATTTTCTTCATCTGTACAATGAAAGTGTGATAGGTGATCTCTGAAGTCCTTTTCTTCTCAAAATCTTGTAAAAGATATAAATCAATAAGCTTATCAATTACAAGTAACCTAACAAGTGAGAAATACTACCAACAACAATAATTCATAACTCAGCATGGTGCTAACTAGTGCTTTATGGTTATAAAGGACTTCACAGAAACTACCTGATCTAATCATCACAAAAACTTCATGAGGTGAGGAACAACATAAGCATTATCATATTTGTTTTACAAAGGAAAGAACTGGGGCTTAAAGAGGGACCTAGCATGGTACAGCCGACTTGGTGTCAAAGCACCCGGGTTCTAATGCTATCTCTGCTACTTCCTACCTGTCTGACCTCTCTGGACTTCAATGCCCTCATTAGTAAAATGAGAGAGAGAGGATCTCTAAAGTCCCTTCTAGCTCTTTCATTATGGGGTCCTATGACTTCTCTGAAGTCACACGACCAGCAAGTGAGGGACTTGAATCCATGTCTTCTCTATCCAAGAGCTCTTTTCTCTGTTCCACAGTGCCATGCAACTGAAAATACATCAACATTCATGAAAGCCAACATGGGTGCCATATAGTTGTACAAAGACTTCGTAGCAATTATACACACCACAATTAATTTCTAACCAAAACATCATGTTGATTTATATGGCACAAAAGTTACTGAACCAAAGTTGGGTGACGGGGATGCTGGTTACTTACGGTGTTGATTTGTATGAAGAGTCCGGATATGATCGTTTTTCATTCATTCTGCCATAAGAGGAATATACCATGGAACCGTCAACTTTATCCACATAGTCAGATGGAGCTGGGGGGACTTCTTGTGTATTTATGGACACATTCTTCACCTAAGGGGATAGCCCCATCAAGAAATAAGAACGTTAACTGAGTCACCACAGATGTGAAAATGCTGTAATATAAGGTTTTCTCCCTAACAAGATACCCTTGAATACTCAAGGAAAATGGTAGTAAGCCCATATATATAAAATGATACACACTGCTATAATAAGTGACTGTTAACCAACAGCCACTCTTTCAGTTGTCAACATCATATAGGACTGGGAAGGCTAAAGAGCTAGGGTCAAACTCAGGGAAACCAAGTTCTAAAAGCGGCTGACCCTTGTGAGCTTGTGTAAGTTTCTTTTTCTTTCTTTTTTTTTTTTTTTGGTGAGGCAATCAGGGTTAAGTGACTTGCCTAGGGTCCCACAGCTAGTAAGTGTCAGTCCTCCTGACTCCAAGGCTGGAGCTTGATTCACTACACCACCTACCTGGCTCCATTGTGTAAGCTTCTGGACCTTAACTTAAAGCCTCAGCTTCCCCATCTATAACATGAAGGAGTTCAAGCAGCTCTCTTCAGAAGTCCCTTCCAATCTATGATTCTCTTCTGCATCCCAGCACCACACTAGCCATTTCCACCTTGGGTAAGTCATTCAACTCCTAAGAGGTTTAAGTTTCTTCAGCTGTAAAATGTATTTGTATTAGTGACCTCTAGACTGCTGTGAACAAAATAATAATAATAATAATAATAATAATAATAATAATAATAATAAAGTACTTCCTATGTGCTAAGTGCTTTAGAATTATTATCTCACTTGATCATCACAACAACTCTGGGAAGGTGCTATTATTATCCCCATTTTATAGATGAAGAAACTGAGGCAAATGCAGGTTAAGTGACTTGCTCAGGGCCATACAGCTAGTGTCTGAGGCCACATCTGAACTTGAGTCTTCCTGATTCCCGATCCAGAGCTCTATCTACTGCCCCCTCTGGCTGCCTCCTTTTGAAAACCTTAAAGAACTATTTGGATGATCGGCCTTGTTAAATAATTCAGTTTAATTACTCATATGAAATTAAATTCAAGAATATTTTCTTAAAGATTTAACAAAATGAGAATCTGGAGAAAAAATGAAAAGCTCGGCTTCTCCTTTACCACAGATTCTAAATGGCTTTGTTTCTACCTATAGCGATCATATGAAAAAGGTCACAGTTTGTTTAATTTTCTTTCCTCTCTCTCCACAGTCTGGGAGTGAATTCCTCCAATAGAGATGTCCTTCACAGACCAGAATTCTTCATTATTATGGAAACTGGCTTAGACCTCAGGAAACAGTGGAAGAAGAATATTTACATGTCAAAAGGACGGAGAATTGGGTCCTCCAAAAGGACAATTAGCATATGGGATGAAGGAATTTTCATGAGTTTTTCCTTCATTATTCTAAGTCTAAGCTATTGGGTCCAGCACTTATCCAATCTATTACTCCTTGGGACCCAGAGGTACCAGTTCGTGTCTATTTTAGTACTAAATTTTCCATTCCATGATGTGAAAAAGCAACATTCACACTATACCATGTATAATTATGTACAGATATGCCATGGGATATTAATGCTGAATTTGGCACTGGAGTAGAGGGGAAGGGGAAATCCTTGATTGTCTACTGTTCTTGTGAGTCAGAAAGGAATGAAAAATATTTCTACTGGGAAGGTGGATTTTTGGCAGTATTTGGGAAACCAGTGGGTGGGGGTTACCAGGGAGTGTTCTTAGACCCTGCTACAGGGGAGGAGGAATGGGGGATATTCTTGGCTCCTAGTGAATTTCTCAGTACACCCCAGACCACGTGTTCCTTCCTCAGGGATAAGGATCAAGGCTCTTTCTCTGAAGGCCTAATCAGGGATCAGGCGGATCTCTCACTTTGTTAAACAACACAAAGCATATTTCTCCAAATGTTTTTACTTCCCCCAGAGCTACATTTTTACAAGTTTATCACAGATGAATTTTTGGTAGGCCTATAATTTTAAAAATCAATGGTTCAAATGTCAAAACGCACAGACAGAAAGCAAAATGTCCTTTATGCCGCTTGGAGTACTTTGGCTCTTTGCCAATCAGAATTTTATCTTCTGGAGGCCAGTCTGTACAATTAAATGCTTTCCTGACCACTACGGTCCTTCTCCAGCATTAACACAAGCTTTGATTCAGTCTTCCCATAAGAAAGATGAAATATTATTCAATCCAAAACACAATTATTGAGCTCCTAATTATAGGCCAAGCACAGTGGAGTACATAGACATGCCTGCCCCCAAAGAGCTTCAATTCTATTGGCCCAAAGTACACACAATTAAGTAAATACAAAATGTATTCAAGGTAAATACAAAGCAATTGGGTAGTAGGAAGAACACTAAAAACTGGGGAGACTGAGAAAAGACATCATGGGAGACTGCATTTGAGTTATGCTTGGAAAGAAAGGAAGCATTCTAGCTTTTGAGTTTCAGGCAAGAAGGTAGAAGAATAGAGCTCTAATCTCAACTCTCCAGCTAAACTGGAGATTAAATCTTGTCACTTCACAAGTACATCACAATCAAATTCCTCTACCAACCTATCTTTCCAGTCTTATCTTGAATGAAGTGAGCTCCTTAAGAGCAGGGATGGTCTTTTGCCTTTACCTTCAGGGCTTAGGGCATTGTTGCCCACTGTTTTTCAGTCAAGTCTAATTCTTCCTGACCCCATTTAGGGTTTTCTTGGCAAAGGTACTGGAGTGGTTTGCCATTTTATTCTCCAGATGATTTTACAGATGAGAAAACTGAGGCAAACAAGGTTAAGTGACTTGCCCAGGCTCACACAGCAAGAGTTCAGGCCATATTTGAACTCGAGTCTTCCTAACTCCTGGCTGGGCACTCCAGGCACTGCACCATCCAGCCATCCTAGGCAGGTGGTAAGAGAAAGCATTCCCAAGTCATTTTGGATTCAGCATTTGCCTTTTAAAAGAATAATTTTTGCCCCTTGCTAGATAACTTATAATTACCTCTAAGTTAATAAATATATTGTTCCTATGAGGAAATGGGAAGGAAGAGTGAGGGGTGCGGGGGGGGGTAAGATGGGAAGGAGAAAACCAAAAGAGAATTTGGATCTGGCTATCACTGTAAAATTTCCTCTTTTATTAATAATCAGTACAGATAGGAAAGTGCTGTAGTGGATACACAGTAGCTGTGGGATCCTGGGAAAGTCCATTCATCTCCCAGGGCCCAGGCAATTCTCTGCGACAAAATCTTAGAACATATCTATCCTCAGGAAGTTTTCACACTGAGAGTTTCCCCTTTCTAAAGAAATCACAGGCAAAGTTTGAGGGAAAGGAATGGAAATTCACACTAAAAGCCAGGCATATTTTCTTAAGAAAAAGAATATGTTCCCTTGTAGTCCTCAGCATTGTTTCAGGGAGAGACAGGGCTTTTGTTTTTGTTTTTTAAAAGCATGGTTAAAGGAACCTGAAACATTCTTGTCTTGCCCCTTTGTTGAAAAAATTAATATATTTTTCTATTATATTAATTTCTGATTATATCCCTTACTATATCCCAGGAAGACATCCCTTGAGACAAAGAATTTTTAAAAAACCAAAGAGGCAAAAGTCTGTATTATTTAAAAAACCAAACAATTGGGGGCAGCTAGGTGGTGTGGTGGATAAAGCACTGGCCCTGGATTCAGGAGGACCTGAGTTCAAATCCGGCCTCAGGCACATAACACTTACTAGCTGTGTGACCCTGGGCAAGTCACTTAACCCCACTGCCTTAAAAAAAAAAACAATATAGCAAAGATATCTGATAGTAGCTATGACATTCAACAACACAGTCACTCATTTTCTCAATTTTTCTTCCAGACTACTTATGTAGTTTTCAAGTATTTTGCTTTTATCATGTATATTATAGTCATTTTCTATACTGTTTTCCTCAACTCCTTGATTTTTTGAAAAAGTAAATTTTATCTTTTTTAATTTTCTTTTTTAAGGCAATTGGGGTTAAGTGACTTGCCCAGGGTCACACAGCTAGTGTCAAGTGTTTGGTCTGACGCCAGATTTAAACTCAGGTCCTCCTGACTTCTCTATCCACTGCACCACCTAGCTGCCCCAGTTTTATCTTTTTTATATCAACTTTATTTCTCAATGTATCCCTCCCTCCAAGAGAGCCATCTCTTGTAATGAATATTTTTTTAAAAAAGAAAGAAAATAAAAGTCTAGTAAAATAAACACACTGGAAAAGAAATCTGTCATTCTATGTAATAATCCATACCCCAGTACCCCCACCAAGCCCCCCAAAAGGAGGAAGGACTCTTTTTTCATCTCCTTTCCAGGGCTAAGCTTCTCGCTCACTGTAATTGCTCAGCATTCCTTGTGGTTTTTTTTTTCTTGCTGCTGTCATTCATTCCATCCATTTACGTTGTTGTTGTAGTCATTATCCACAAACCCTTCATTTTTACCAAGGAGGAAATGGAAGACCAACGAGGACGAGTGAGTTACACAAGGTCACCTTTTTCGGTATATTTCTAAGGAACTTTTTGGATTAGTTCAGGAGTGTGAATGGAGACTCAAGTAATAACTATAATATTGGGATTGTTTGCAGACTAAGGAGGAAAACAGGTGATGTCTTTGCTTGCGCAGAGCCTGTACATTTATTTTACTTTAGGGGAGCATTTTAACATGAGTGGCTGTTTGCTGATATATCGGTTTCATGTCATGTTTTCATTATAGGATTCTAGAGGTTTACAAATGTTCACCTAAATCTTCAGAGGTGCTTCAGTTGTATTTTTACAGGATAATCTACAAATGAGAATTCAATGAAAACACACAATTTTTATAAACAAAATCCACTTTCCATACCCCTGTTATCAAACTGTGACCAGTCTTCAACTACTTGGATTTTTTTTCATATTAGCAAATTTTAGAAACATCCAGCTTCTCCACATCTTTGATTTCAATCACAGTAAAGACATTCCTGGACAGCTAGGTGGTACAGAAGGGATAGAGGCTTGGAGTCAGGAAGATCTGAGTTCAAATCTGAATTCAGGTACACTTACTAGCTTCGTGA